TGTCTTTTATAGAAACTGGAGCGAGTCGAGTCTGTTTTCTCTGAATCCTCAAGGAAGACCACGCGGGAGGATTGCAATAAGAAATATTCAGGACTACACGCACGCACGCATGCTCTCACACGCACGCACACAAACGCGCACAAATGTGCACAGATGTGTGTACACACACGCGCACGCGCACACACACACACACATGCGCGCGCACTTGACGTTGAACTTGGAAAATAAAGATATGTCTGCCTATCTGTAGTGAAGAGAGTAAACTGATAGACTGTTAGTGCCAGTATTAGTTTGGAATTTATGAAAAATATTGTAAATGTTTCCAATTCTTTAGAAAAACTATAAACAGAGGAAAAAACGATTACTGGTTTAGGCTGTGCCGAAGAAACAACAAAAGTCAAAATAAAACATAATACAACCACATAAGTGATGACAAAATGCATAGTGAATTTCATCACTGAATAGCCATGCTGAGGGATGGAGATGGATGCTGAGGGATGCTGAGGGATGCTGAGGGATGCAGAGGGATGCAGAGGGATGCAGAGGGATGCAGAGGGATGCTGAGGGGTGCTGAGGGATACTGAGGGATGCTGAGGGATACTGAGGGATACTGAGGGATGCTGAGGGATAATGAGGGATACTGAGAGATGCTGAGGGATACTGAGGGATGCTGAGGGATGCTGGGGGATAATGAGGGATGCTGAGGGATACTGAGGGATACTGAGGGATACTGAGGGATGCTGAGGGATGAGGGATGCTGAGGGATACTGAGGGATGCTGAGGGATGAGGGATGCTGAGGGATGAGGGATGCTGAGGGATAATGAGGGATGCTGAGGGATACTGAGGGATAATGAGGGATACTGAGGGATCCTGAGGGATGAGGGATGCTGAGGGATAATGAGGGATACTGAGGGATGCTGAGTGATACTGAGGGATAATGAGGGATGAGGGATGCTGAGGGATACTGAGGGATAATGAGGGATGCTGAGGGATATTGAGAGATGCTGAGGGATGAGGTTGGATAATGAGGGATTCTGAGGGATGCTGAGGGATACTGAGGGATACACAGGGATACTGAGGGATACACAGGGATACTGAGGGATACACAGGGATACTGAGGGGTGCTGAGGGATATTGAGGGATACAGAGGGATGCTGAAGAATACTAAGGGTACTGAAGGATTCTGAGGGATACTGAAAGAGAGACAGGGATATTGAGGGATGCTGAGGGATTTTGAGGGATGCTGAGGGATACTGAGGGATGCTGAGGGATGCTGAGGGATACTAAGGGATGCTGAGGGATATTGAGGGGTGCTGAGGGATATTGAGGGATACTGAGGGTACTGAAGGATGCTGAGGGATACAGGTGAACTGGAAAATATGACGAGGATAATATTTGCACACATTAAGCCCAACGAATTTCTTTAAAGGAAATACAGATACAAAGAAATCAGAAAGTTAAAAGTAATATGATGTTAGCCAAGAGATCTCAAAGGATTTTATGTATTCTGGTAAAAGTCATTATGAGGATAGAAGTGTTTTTTATATATATCTACAGAGCCGTACAACGCTGTCAACCGGTTTCTCAGTGAAACCAGACTAGAACAAAGAGTAACCAAACCGAAATAAATAGATAAAAAGGGAAAAAGTGAGATCAAATATTTTTGTGAAAATTTTACATAATTTATATAATATAAAACTGATCATAACTAAGAGACATAACGAGAAGAAATCTGACGCAGTCTAACTGAAATAAATGGAAAAAATATGTTTTGAGGTTATATTATGATAATAGACAAAATAGAGAAGAAAAGGAGAAGTAGTAATATTAATACAAGAAACACTGATAATTACAAAAACTGAAGTACAAAAAAATTAGTGATAATACAAAATACAGACGAGAAACTCTGTAGTCAATACATACTACAGACCAGAGAATAGAAAGGTAATTTAAGGGTTTAAATAATATATCTAAGGAAATTTTGAAGAAAATTTATCGTGAAAAGAAAACAGTCATTGAAACTGAAGATTTTTACTGCTATGAAATAAATTAGACTGAGACTTAAAATAAATATTTGATAAAATTCTTTATCGCAATAACAGTCAACTAGATATTAATGTAGGAACGAGACTGAACAAGACAACATTCTGTCGACAGAATGTTGTCTTGGAGTGATCATTTTCTATTGAAATTAACATATACCGTTAAATATAACAATGTTTCTGGAAAAGAAATGACAAGAAAAGTTAGATTATGAAGAAAACATAATGCATTTAAATAGTATTTTAGAGGAACTAAACAGAATAAAATATTGTAGAAAACAAATGCAAATAATTTGTGCCAAGAGTTGTGTAACATGTACAAGCTGGGATTAAATAGATTATTCTATAAAGAAATACAAGACGAAATAAAGGATTTTTTTTAATGAAGTGCTGGAGTGCTGTGTTAAAACAAGGACTTGGAATTAACATAGGTGACAACATACTTGAAATGACTACA